GATCAGCAGCGACGACCTCACTCATCTGTGCGCCAAGCCCCGGCCCAAAGCTTGGCACCGCGATCGGGATCGGTGCCGAACGCGCCTGATCGACAGTTATCGCGTCTGAAGATGCAGCGTCCTGCCCCCATGCCCGGCCAGCGCCGCCTGCGGTGAGGGCCGAGGCCATGACTGCCCCACCCAGCGCAGCGCGACGGGTCATAAGGAAGCGGCTGAGCTGCTCGCCTTCCGAATCATTGATCAGGAGATTTTTCCATGACATGGCACGCTTCCTCTTCGATGAAGATCAGAAATATTTAAGGCCGGAACACAAAATTGAGCGTATGAACGACACCAAGCATCTGCGCGGGCAGGTCAAGTTTCGCACAGTTCGGACTGAGGACAGCAGCCTGAGCGCGCTCCGCGAAAACCTGAAATGCTGGGTCGGATGCAGCGCGTCGTCTTGTCTCGGAGGTATATTCAGCCTGACGCGCCACGCCTTGAGCATCCACAGTAACAATAAAGCCAGCACTAAACGTCGCGTAATTTTGCGCCGCCGTGTCCTGGGTATAACACCGCCGCACACCTTGACGGATCGCACCCTTCTGCGCCGGATTGAGCGCGCGGGTGATATCGCCCTCAGGCGACCCACCACCATGAGGCGCCCCTCCCTGCTTCGGGTTTGCGCGGGCCTTAGGTGGATGTGTCTGTTTCTGATCGACACGGAATGCATCCAGCGTAGAAAGAAGCGAGTGCGACTCCGACTGCATCTTTCTTGTGACGTTCGGCTGTGTAATATGTGAAAGCTGAATGACTTTCGGCCGGGGAACATCCTTCCGCGTCACCGCCTGCGGTGGAACCACCTCCCGCGACACCGCGGATTTTGTTGGTGGCGGAGGCACTGCCTTAAGCGGTTCAGGATCATCATCGGTCAATTTTTGCGGTATCGCGGCATCCGGCAGGGGCGCATCCGTCGTCGTGGCGGCAGGAGGCACAGGCGGCGGCGGCGGCGATGCCGGAGGAGGCTCTTCATCAGGGATATCTTTCGGCGCTTCCGGTGACGGTGGCGCATCCTTGGCGACGGGTGCCGGGGCAGGCGCCGGCTCCTTGAGAGGTTGATCCGATTTGTGCGGAATGGATGGCGGAGCGTCACTCTCCACCGTCACATCAACCGAGTCCGGC